GTGAGCAAGGCTCACTTTCTTTTGTGCTGGCTGTATCGTGGACCGGCTGAAATGTCTGGTGCCCGTCCCAGTAGCAGCGCCCTGAGCCCAACCAACATCGGTGTGTGGCTCAACTGTAAGGCCCTGGGCCTCTGCATCTTCGGCTGGGCCCCAGCATCTTCATCCAACTGACGGTTGAGCTCTACTGGTTGGCTGGAGATGCTGCGTGCAGCAACCAACCCAAGGGGCCCTGTAACAGAGTTTTCCTATCACCATGGTCATATTGTCCTGTAAACAAATTACTTTATAACATAATAGTCATTTAGATCATGGTGTGCGGACTGGAGTAAGGCCAAGGTCAAAATTTGCAGACCCACCTTCTCGTAGGGAGGGTGGGGCCTTATTCCAGCATGCCGAGGGCGCATTTCTGCACACAATTTTCTTGTATTCTTAGTACCAGTTGATCGGTCCCTTGCCCACAAGTGAGGGAAGCGTGGAGTGGTACCAGTGGGAACATCATGATGCAGGGGACGCGGGATCAGCTTTTCGTCAGTTTTCCAGCTTTGTTGTAATAAAGTCAAAAAAAAAAAGCAGGCGATCTGATTATAATTACACAGTTGGCTGGGTTGCCAACTGGGCGGCCGGGTTCACCTTGGCTGCTTGTGCGGCACGGCGGAGCAAGGGCCAGGCAAGGTCCCTGCAAAAAAAAGAACCTCCCCCCCCAAAAGAAAGAGAGAAATTATAAAATCCGAAAATAAGCTTAAAATTTAAATAACGCTATGTTATGCAAAAAGAAAAAAACTGAACAACCTTCTTTTTTTTAAGACCCGTCCTTGTTTCATATTCGATAATAAAAGCAGGGAAATGCGCCCAGCGTCCCTTACATATATGCCGCGCCCGTATGGGGCTGGACAAGGCACTTCTGGCCAAGCCCATCCCCGACCACGACTCTTCACACCACCGAAAGATCCAAAAAAATCGACCAAGAACTCCGTTCCTGCAAAAAGGGACTCCAGAGCACCCTAACTACGATTACCTTACATGCAGTGCAAAAGCCGAACATCTTACCGTTCATCTCTTATTAATAAATAATAATTAAAATAAAGCTACAAATTCTTAAATCTAATACAAAATCCGATCTGGTATCTTCACCGATCGACAATATTTACAAAGAACAACAAAATTATTATCACTAATCCTGCACTGTTGATGGCACTAGAATGATGAACAAATTATTGCAGATAAATATTAATTTATTAAATATTAAAAACTAATAAAAAGGCCAGTCAAACCTATCAAAGTACACAACTCGAAAAGCCGAACAAAGTCACATCGAGATTATTTACCAAATAACAATTTAAAATTTTAAAATCAAAATTGAAAATAAAAATAAAAATTAATAAAAAGCTAAACTACCAGCCGGGCTGCTCGGCTACCGAGTGGCCAGCCCGTGCAAGGACCAGGGAAGGTCCCAGCAAAAAAAAAGGAAAAAAAATCCACAAAATAACTACTGCGAGGCACAAGGCCTCTGTAAGCCCGACTGGGCCGTGTTATCAGCAGTGTCGGCCGCCCTAAGTGAAGGCAGGCCCGACTTAGGCCAAGAGGCCTATTTTGGACTATCACGCAACTGAGGAAATTCAGGCAGTTGCGCAGCGCCAGTTGGTTGAAAGTGCCAAGGCCCAGGCTGCCTTTATCGTATGTAGCTGAGGCACTCCCTGGGCCAGATACGCAACATGGACTAAGCACATGCTGCGGGCAGTTGGGCACGGGTAACCGCCACAGCCCCTGGGCCTGATTCGTTTGGACCGAGGCTCAGCCTCTCTGGGCCTACCGGAAGCTTCTGGACCGGGGCCCAGTGCAGCCAGGCCGCACGCAGTAGGAAGGCCACTTCCATTTAGGAAAGTGCCTGCCTCAGCATTTGGCATTCGGGCACTGGCTGCATGCTGCGCTAAACGCTGGCCAGAGCCCACACGCTCACGGGCGAACGACATTGGCCGAGATCTGCTCGTACTTCTTGGAGCTGTTGACGTCACCAGCGGCATTGTAGATAGGCTAGATAGGATCTGCCATTTGTAGTCTGGGCGCAGAGCGCCAGATAGGATGTCGACATTGGTTCTCTGTTGATGATGATGAGACTATTCCAACATTGTCACTATTGAGCTTTTGCTGTGCTCTTATTTGGTGAAACACCTATTGCAATTTTGCTTCTGGTTCGAGGTCACGACTATCTGGTTTCATGTGTATGATGCTGCTTGGTTTTCGGTGTTTGCTATCGCTCATTTTCGTTGCAATTTGGATTCGGAGAAATTTGGAGAGACCGGTACACACGACAGGCTTGTATCCGTTGTGGCCAATATGGCCATAATCAGTTCAAGTGTCGGAATGAGAAGGTGATCGAAAAGATCCCGCCTACAATGGGGCAGGCGACGGGATCCTTCGCTTTCCAGGGTAGTAATGTTGCCAGCAGTTCTGGCACCGCCTTGGGAAACATGTCGAGCCAGTAGGAATGGTAGTTGTTCCTGCTAGGGTCGAGGTGGTGGACACACCCTCACCGTCTCGAGAGATGACCCAAGCTACTGACTCCGTAGTTGTCCCGCAAACACATTAAGACCCATCGATCCTTTGTTTGATGCATGTGTTTGAATCCTTAGAGGAGCTAGAAGAGGAGTGGTCTAGATTAGACCCGCTAGCTTCTTGGACGACCATGGCCAACGCCCCTAAGGGTGAGTTGTTCGTCGGAGAGGTAGTCATCGGCGGCCTCTATTATGACACTTGCTCGACGCGGAACTTTATTAGTCGCGCGTGCGTTGAGAGGCTGCATTTACAGGGGCAAGTGCAGCGCCTGAGTCGACCTGTGGAGTCGACCTGTGCCAACAAACAACGCATGGTAGTCGACGACTACCTTAAAAATATTGAGTGTTGTTTTCCGTACGCGGGAGGGGAATTGAGACATCTTGTCTCGTTCCTAGTCAGCGATGAACTCCCAATGGATATCATGTTGGGTATGTACTATCTTTCGGTTGCACAGCCCCAGTTTGACTGGGACCGAAAAGTAGTCAAACACTCGCTGCCCAATGGGGGGCCAATGGGGGGACCGCCATATTGCGTAAGTTCAAAACGAGCAGTCTGATCGAGTCCTATGGGTGCATGTGTGAAGCTGCGTTCTACAATTATTATAAGCAAAATCCGGAGGAGGGTATGCACTTAGTTTATGTCTCTGCATAAGGCGAGGTGGTGAAAATGCCACTACAGATAGAGGGAGTAGTCGATAAGTACCCTGATCTATTCGAAGAGCCGAAAGGGGTTGTTGAGAGGGAGGTCGTTCATGTGATAAAAATTATCCTTGGGTCTAGCATTCTGAAGGGTAGAATCTATCGGATGTCTCGAGAGGAGCTTGATGAGCTTCGCCGACAGCTCAAGGATCTCATAGAGAAGGGATGGATCCGACCTAGTGTCTCCCCTTACGGATCTCCTGTCTTATTCATACCAAAGAAAGGGGGAACATTAAGGATGTGCATTGACTATAGGGGCCTCAATGCCATCACCGTCAAGAACGCAGAGCCCCTGCCTCGCATCGATGACTTGTTGGACCGAGTGCAAGGGTGTCGGTACTTTAGTAAGATAGATCTGAAGTCCGGGTACCATCAGATTGCAATACGACCCGAGGATCAACATAAAACCGCTTTTCAGACCAGGTACGGTCTGTATGAGTTTGTGGTGATGCCTTTCGGCCTTTGCAATTCTCCTGCACCTTTGAGCACGCCATGAACTAGATCTTTCATGACTACTTGGACAAGTTTGTCATCGTGTACCTTGATGACATACTTATCTTCAGTAGGACTGTGGAAGAGCATGTTGGTCATTTACATAAGGTACTTAGTCTCCTTCGGCAGCACCAGTTCAAGATTAACCGGGAGAAGTGCGAGTTTGGCCGTACCCCGATCTTGTATCTGGGTCATGAGATTTCCGCGGAGGGATTGAAGCTCGATGACGCGAAGGTGGCCAGCATTCGTGACTGGCCGCGTCCTCACTCTGTGATTGAGATGAGGTCCTTCTTAGGGATGATCGGCTAATTTTGTCAAGAACTATAACATAGTGGCCACCCCTTTGACGGACCTAACAGGCCTTGACACCCCGTGGGAGTGGACAGACAGGTGTGAGGCTGATTTCAAACATCTGAAGCATGCCCTCACTCACCATGAGGTCTTGAAACTGCCTGATCCTGACAAGCCGTTTGTAGTAACCACGGATGCCAGCCAATATGGCATAGGTGCCATGCTTGCGCAGCAGGAGGGGAAAAAGTTAAGGTCTGTAGAGTACATGTCCAAAAAGATGCCCTCTCAGAAGTTGGCTAAGTCCACCTATGAGAAGGAGCTCTATGGAATCTATAAAGCGCTAACACATTGGAGGCACTATCTCCTTGGTCGCTTCTTCTACGTCGGGACTGATCATCAGACCCTGCGACGGATGAAGACTCAACCGGTACTCTCCGATGCTCTGAAGCGATGGATTGAAGTCATAAAGGAGTATGACTTCGAGCCCCAGTACATCAAGGGAGAGTACACCAAGGTTGCAGATGCGTTGTTGCGGAGGCCAGACTTCCTTGGTGCGCTGATCACCGAGTCTGGGCTTCCGGACAATGTTACTTAATCTTTGGTGGAAGCCTATCGCGAGGACCCGTTTATGGCCGAGGTCATACGCAGACTCGAGGCAAAGGACAAGCTAACTGGTGACGAGTTTGTGTTGGTCACCTGCTGTTCCTTGAGAAGGCCGGGAATAAACGATTGTGTGTTCCAAATCGGGAGTCTTTGCACAATTTACTTTTAGGCGAGTGTCATGATGCCACCAGACATTTTGGGTATAGGAAGACTGCAGAAAACTTCTTGCAGCGGTTTTGGTGGCCCACAATGATGAAAGATGCAAAGCTGTACGTGGAGACTTGTCAGGTGTGTCAGAGAAACAAGCCACGTACACAGGCCCCTCTTGGGCTTCTCAAGCCCCTTCCGATTCCGGAAAGGCCCGGTGAGAGCCTGTCTGTGGATTTCATGGACACACTGGTCACCAGCAAGAGCGGAATGCGATATGTCTACGTCATTGTGGATAGGTTTAGTAAGTATGCTAGGTTAGTCACAATGCCTGCTACAGCTAAGACCGAGTATGTGATCAAACTGTTCAAAGAGAATCGGGTCAGAGACTTTGGACTTCCAAAGTCTATTGTGAGTGACCAGGATGTCCGATTCACCAGTGAGTTGTGGAAGGCTGCAGCTGCAGAACAGGGAACACAACTGCAGATGACTTCTGGGAACCACCCAGAGGCAAATGGGCAAGCAGAGCAGCTGAATCGCGCTGTACAGCACCTGCTAAGGCACTATACCAAGCCCAATCAGGTGGACTGGGATGAGAAACTTGCTCTCATCGCCAGCCTGTATAACAACGCCGTGCACAGTGCAACAGGGGTGAGCCCCAACAGTCTGCTACTGACTTTCAAACCTAGACTACCCTTAGATTTTCTACAACCTGAGAATCAGCCTTCCGCTGCACCAGGCACTTTAGATTTCACTTATCGATATGAGCGTCTGATGCAGCAAGCTGTAGAACAAATGCACAAGGCACAGGCGGCGATGATAGAATCTGAGAACAAACACCGCCGCCCATCTACATTTCAGGTAGGGGACAGAGTCTGGGTCAAGTCCTCAGAACTGGGACAGGAGCATGGGATCTCCCGCAAGCTCATGCCACAGTACTTTGGACCATGGGAGGTTCTCGATGTTGTCGGGGATGATCCTGATGGGCCGTCACATGTAATTAGGATCCCTGGTCACCTACGCACTTACCCTGTTTTACACGCCTCCAAGCTCGCACCTTTCAAGGAAACCGAACAGTTTCCTTCTCGTCGCTTAATGCTGCCCCCAACCATGGATGGAGAGGTTGACATTGACGACATCATTGACCACGGGGAAATGCCCGTTCCAAGACCAACAGGCAGGGGACGTCCTCCGAAGCCGAAGCGGCAATATCGCGCTCGGTTCAGACTACATACTGATCCAAAGGAGGATCAATGGTTTACAAGGGACGAACTGATGCAGACCGCTCCACAGGCTGTCGCCCACTACGAGAAGCTGCTGCAGAAAGGAAAGCGCCAGATTGAATGAACTTCTCAGAGGACTAGTGAAGTGTGGAGGAGGGAATGCGAGGCACAATGCCTCTGTAAGCCCTACTGGGCCCTGTTATCAGCAGTGTCGGCCGCCCTAAGTGAAGGCAGGCCCGACTTAGGCCAAGAGGCCTATTTTGGACTACCACGCAACTGGGGAAATTCAGGC